GACTTTTTAACTTCAGCTCCCACCAGGTGACTGATTTTCTCTTCACATTTCCAGTTCGGATTCTTGAAAGAGAATGGGCATAGGTGGCCACCACCATCCCTGTTTGCGTGGAGTATTCTTACTGGGTCACCTTTTAGGCCTGGCTGCCTCAGGTTATATGGTTCTATAAAGGGGGTTGAAATGCACAGGTCATGTCTCAGCCTGCTGCCTCAGCTGGGGATGCTGGCTGGAGTAGCTCTCTTAAAAGGGTAATCTGGCACAGCAGGACAGAATGACTTCTTAGGCACATTCTTCTTGTTTTGAGTTAAAATTTTTTTAAAAAAATATACCACAAAGTAATATATTTTTCATGGTTTTGTTTTTGCCTAAGACAAAATTCTCCTGACTCTTCTATTTTAAATAGTCATGTTACATAGAAACAAAGAGTAGATTGATGGTTGTCAAAGGCTAGAGGCTGGGGAAAACGGGGAGATGTTGGTCAAAGGGTACAAACTTCCAGTTGTAAGATGAATAAGTTCTGGGCCTGTAATGTACAGCAGGGTGACTATAGTTAACAATACTGTATTGTAGTCTTGAAAGTTGCTGAGAGAGTAGATCTCAGATGTTCTCGCCACACACACACACACAAAAGGTAACCATGTGAGGTGAAGGATGTGTTAACTAACGTTATTGTGGCAACCATTTCATAATATATGTATATTAAATCATCACATAGTACATCTTGAACTTACACAATCTTATATGTCAACTATATATCAATAAAACTGGAAAAAAATCATCATGTTACCTAGCTGTTTTCCAGCTGACTCTAACAGAAATATAGTTGAGCTAAATCTTTCTTAAAGTTCCTTAAATTTAATATTATGGGGAAAATGTTCATGCTTTATAATGTTCAACTGGCATTTTAATAAGCTTATTTGCAAGAAGGTAAATGCATTTTAATAGTTAATATAGAATTGTGCCTACAGATATCAGAGATTAACAAAGATGAGTAGGGAGGGTCTGGAATATGCTGACTTTCATAAAGAAGTTTAAAAACATTTCCCTTTTGAAACAGAATTTTCTCAGGCATTTTCCTGGCACTTTGCTGTTAAAATATAAATGGTTATGTGTAATGGTTAACTGCAGACTGTTATTGTTGGAAATTATTTTTATATGCACAAATTGTGATGGAAAGGAGAGTGGATTGCAAACATAAATTTGTGTTTTGGTTTTATTCTGACTTAGAAGGCAGACTTAACTTAAATTGTCTTCTATATCATCTCACCACCGGAAAAAGGGAAGTGAAGTCAGGCGAAAAATTGCTGGTCTTCTTGCAGAAAGGAAACAAATATGTAAGTATACATAGGCAGCCTTCAGTCTCTCTCTCTACTCAGCCCATCCTATGCACAGTCCTGATTTAGCATTAGTAAAATATTATGATGTCATTCTCCTAAGTCTCAACTCTGGCTGTATGTTAGAACACTTGGAAGGCTTTTAAAATAAACCTATTTCCAGGCCCCACCCTCCAGTTTTCTGATTTATTTGGTGTGGGTGTGGTTTGTGCATTGGTATTTTTGAAAGGCATCCTAAGTAATTCTAAGGGGCAGACAGGAAGCCACTAGGCAAGAAGACAGAATCTGAACACTTGCATTTGCCTTTAAGGCAAATTTTCTATTACCCCCCGCCCCAGCTTGTTAAGCGCTGGACCGCTCAAGTAGCCTCCCATGCCCTATGAATATTACTTGAGCTTCCCCTCTTCTATTCCTTTTTCAGGCATTCCAAGAGTTTCTTTCTCACACATTTTTTTCTGATTCAAATTCCTGCCCATTTTTCAAGATTCAGCTCAGTTTTTACCTTTTCCATGAAGCCTTCCCTGACTGCCTTTGACGAGAGGTCTTGCTCCCTCTTCTGAACTCACAAAGCAGTTATTGTCTAGAAAATCACCATATGCCTTCTCTTCTACTTTAAGTAGATGAATCTCACTTTTTTTTTTTTTTAAAAGATTTTATTTATTTACTTGACAGAGAGAGAGACAGCGAGAGAGGGAACACAAGCAGGGGGATTGGGAGAGGGAGAAGCAGGCTTCCGGCTGAGCAGGGAGCCCGATGCGGGCGGGGCTCGATCCCAGGATCCTGGGATCATGACCTGAGCCGAAGGCAGACGCTTACCGACTGAGCCACCCAGGCGCCCCTAGAGGGAGAAGCAGGCTTCCCACCAAGCAGGGAGCCCGATGTGGGGCTCCATCCCAGGACTCTGGGATCATGACCTGAGCTGAAGGCAGACGCTTAACGACTGAGCCACCCATCTCACTTTTTATGTTTGTTATCCAGCTACTTACTCTTCTAGCTTAGGCTTCTAGCACTACTTTGTATCTTTGACAAGCTGAACGTCTTGCACAGTGGAGGAAGTCAGTTGATATTTCCCCTCCCATCCTCACTTCCACAGGTGTGGTTCAGGCCTTCGTTTCTCCTGGAGTCTTGCCCTGGTCCTACTGTGCCTTTCTGACAGCAGACTCTTTGGCTCTTTAAATCAGGCCAACGCATCAGTAACTCACATGGCCGAGGGCCAATAAAACTAACTGTATGCTTGTACTCTGATCGTTCTTGCTCGCTTCCTATTTTTTACTCTAGATCACCCATTGGCTTCCTTTTCCCCTCTGTCCCCTCATTCTTCTACTCCCTATTTTGCCAGGACTTGATGGCAAAATTCAGTTTCTCAGGTTTTGACCTCTTGTGTTCTCTAAAATGTCAGAGTATAACATACTTTCTGGATCTTTCTGTCCCTAATTCCTTTGGGCAAACACTTCCCCTGGCCAGGCTCTGGCCCAGCTGACCTAACTTATTCTGCCAGCACCCTGGTCTGATCTGTCAAGATTCCCCTCAAAGAGAACAGACACTCTATACGCTGTCTTTAGGATTCTCACCCTTTGGAAGAGAGCTGATTGAGTTGTCCACAGATTAAAAGCTTCTGTTGGTCCCTCATTGCCTGCAGAATAGGGTCTAAAGCTGAGATGTCCAATATGGCAGTGATTCATATCCAGATAAAAAAGTGAGTTTCTGGGGGCGCCTGGGTGGCTCAGGCGTTAAGCGTCTGCCTTCGGCTCAGGTCGTGATCCCAGGGTCCTGGGATCGAGCCCCGCATCGGGCTCCCTGCTCGGCGGGAGACCTGCTTCTCCCTCTCACACTCCCCCTGCTTGTGTTCCCTCTCTCACTGTGTCTCTCTTTGTCAAAAAAAAAAAAAAAAAAGTGAGTTTCTGATGTCAGAACAATCTGGCTGTGACATCTGTCATCCCATTGATTGCTAGGGTTGGTTTGGCTGATCTGTCTGGCTGGGTCGGTGTCCCCTTCCTCCCTCACGGTTCCATGTGTTCCCCTCCCAAAGCGGAACATAGGTTGAAGAGGACAGCTTGCCCTGATAGAGGAAGATCATTCTTCCAGTAGCTGCGCTCCCCTGCTAGGACCTACAAACAAGCTCTCAAGGTCCATTTATAAGAGAAGGTAGGGTAGTCAAGCTTCTACGATTCCAGACACATCCAAATGAGGCCCTGCAGGTGGCAGTCTGCCTTTCTTTAAAAAAAAAAAAATTTCCTCAGCTATGTCATGTTGTAAGTGGCTAGTGGCTATCATATCGGACAACACAAAGACAGAACTTTTCCATCATTGCAGAAAGCTCTGTTGAACAGTGTTCTTCTAAATCCCTTAGTGTAGCTCATGAGGCCTTTTACAATCTCATCTCAACCTTGTGCTCTACCTTAATTTTTGGCTGCTACTTACCTTCAGTCCCACCCACTTTCTCAATGTTCCCCAACCCCTCAGTGCCCTTTTATAACTCGATGCCTTTGAACATGCTGTTCCTTTTTACTGAAATGCCCTTTGACTTTGTTTTCTGGCAAACTCCTATTTACCTTTTAAGATCCAACTCAAACATTACTTTTCTTGTGAAATTCCTTGACCTTCCTAAACACAATAATTTCTTCCTTTGTGTTTCCCTTGCTCATTGAACCTAGCTCTATTGCCCTATCACTGTATTTTGTTATTATTTGCTGATAAATTTGGCTATGCTCTTGGAAAGGAGATGCTGACTGCTCTAATGGTTACCTGAAATTGTTTGCTTGAAGCCTGTTTGATATCAAGTATTTTCTTATGTATGTGCTTGTTGTTCATGTATTTGGCATGTTTAAAAAGATCATTTGGTGCTTGCTTTAAAGTCCTTCCCCCTTCTGGATAAACCCAGAATGACTTCCTGTCTTCCAGGGTGAAGTCCATTTCTCTTCTAATTAATTCTGACTGCACTTGAGACGGATGTGATAGGAGGAGTTGACAAGGTCAAAAACAGAGGGACCATATATGTAGGAGCTGGTTCAGATGTGCTCAGGTTCCGGTAGCGACACAAAATATTTAGCATGTGTTTGGGCGAAGAGTAGGGAGGGACTATAGAGAAAATAAAAACAGCCCATGGAACGAAAGTTGGGGAGTTGTGCTTGACTTTTTCCAGGCCAAGGCCAAAAGCAATGTATAGTAAGGTGGGAAGAGTTTCTATGACCATTTTGCAAAAATGTACATTTTTTCCCCTCCTGGTATTTATTAAGATTTTAATAAATTCTTGTGACTCGAATTACTGGGAAGTAAATCCTCCTGACCAAGAAATTAAAATGTTAGTTTATCTTCCGTGATTATGGTTAATATCACTCCGAAAGGCTTATTGTCTTCTGAGACGGCTGTAAATCCTATTGGCTCCGGATCTGAGAGACGCTAACAGATCACTCTTCACTAGCCCTGCCGCAAATCCTACGGTCAATCATTTTCTCTTTGGCGCCCCGACCACGCCCAGGGCTCAGACCACGCCCATCCAAGTCGCCCTCCCGCCCACCTCTTGGCTCCGCCCCAGGCCTAGCAGAGGAAGATTCTTATTGGTGAAGAAGTTGTTCTGGTCCCGCCCCAGGGCACGGCGATAGGCCGAACCGGAGTGGGGCGGTGGTGGTTGGCTGCCTGGGGACGGGTCCCTAGCCGTGCCTGTCAGAGTGGCTGGCGGCAGTGGCGGCTCTCGGGGCTGGGTTGTCAGTCAGTGAGCAGAGGGGGAAGATGGCTCGCTGGGACCCGTTCTGTTAGGAAGAAGGGGGGCAGGTGGTGCTGCTACTCGGGAGAAAGCAGATCAGCCGCTGTCGCTGTCGCTGCGAGTCAGACAAGTCGAGGTTCTGGAGGTGGAGCTCGGGGAGCCGCTCTGGTGAGTCCGACCGAGCGACCCACGCCGGGCCCCCAGGGTGGCCGGCGACCGATAACTTTTTTGTCAGGGAGGAGCCGGGGCGAGGCGGCGGCGGGGAGGGGACCAGGACTTTGTCCCCGGGGCGGCGCCTTCGTTGGGGGTAACGGCTCCCTCGCGAGGCGCCGCGGGTGGGCGCGAGAAGGCGCTGGGCGCTAGGGGCGTCCGAGGGGCCGGAGCAGCCGGGTTGGTGAGTGGGCTGCGGCCGGCGGCTGCTCGCCCCGAAGTTGGGCGCAGCCCGTTTGCTGCCTGGGCGGCGGCAGCTTTGTGCGCCTGGACTCGGGTCTTTCTCTTTCCCAGCAAGGGGCAGTCCAGACTCCGGGCGTGCCCAGGGTGCAGCCGCCTCGGCCGGACACGCAGCCCCTCTGCGGGGGCCCCCCACCGCCATCCCGCCGCAGCTCATGCTCCGGCCTGGCCTCTCCCACTCCAGGGAGGTTACCGCTATCCGTCTAGTCTAGTGACCAAAATAGTCACCGTCGACCCCCTTCCCCCCTCATTTTTAAAAGCAGCGTTCGCCTGGGTCTTTGGTGTCTCTCGTAGGGCGGTGAGATTCAGAAAGCGGCTACGATTCCTTCCTTGGTTATTACACTGGAGATCCGCTCTTCAGCACTTGCTCCCTTCTATGAGTTATTCCTCTCCCGAGGCTGATTTTTAACGTACTCGGGAATCGTCGGGGTTTTGTCTGAAAATGGTTGCATTAAAAGACCCCAAGTTTGCACGCTTCAGCAAAACTGCGTATCCGCCCGTCAGCGTGCACAATTGTGCTCTGTACCCCCGAGTTTAGGCATTCCTGAAAGATTTTAATTTTGCCCTAGTGGTTTCATACTGCACAGGATCGGGTCTCTGATAAATACACTATCACACGCCCGGCAGCGTCTGCGCTCTCCAGGTAGGGGGAGTTTGTTCCACAGGCAGCTAGCTACTAATTTCAGAGACCGTACGATAGGCAGTAGGACCAAGCTGTCCTTTTGCAAATTATTTGTCCTTTGGGTCACACAGTAGTTTTGGGAGCCGATATGCCACCTCTTTGGTTCATGTAACACTTGACAGTTTGAGATTTTCAGCTTTTAAAATCTTATCTGCATAGAGCCATAAGGATCGGCGTAACCTTGAGTCAATGTGATAGACCCAGGAGGGTTGTTTTCCATAAGAACATTTTCCTAACATCCAGACTGGCTGGCCCTCCCTCCGATTTCTAAGCATCTTTTCTTTGGGTTAATACATTTTAAGGTTTACAAGATGAATATTGGTCCCAAACACCATTTTTTTTTTTTTTTTGAAGTGCAGGGAAAGGCAAGAAAGAAAAAAATTTAGGATCTGCTTGGCCAATAGTAGCTTTAAAGTCATTTATTCAAATAATTCATTTACATAAAGTGGCTAAAGGGAAAACTATCATATATTTAGATTAAAAAATTCTGGATTTGGCTTATTTTATTCTTTTTAGATTTACTATTATTATCATAGAGGGATTATAAAACCTCTTAATTATCAACATTAACAGTACTTGGATATAGACACCCAGATAAGGTGTTGGTTAGGTCAGTATGTTATTCCTGCTATGCTTTCTTTGTTGTGTTTCTATTTTATGAAATCTGACCTTGGTTGCATTTCTTAGAGTGGTGTTGTTTTGACAGAGTTCAAACATACAGTCACCTCTGTTTTATTCAGGATCCTGTTGTGTGATATTTATTTTGTAATGAATATTTAAAATCTTTGAAAAATGTTAGTATCAGTACCATTTGGGGGTATCAAGTTTATATTTTGTAAATAATTGAAATTATGTCAAGCATGTATTTATTTTGCACTGTCCCAGGCTGAATAGGTTCTAAGGCAGAAATGAGTGTCATAGTTCTTGTCATCAAGAAATTTACTCTCTGATGTACAAGACAGATCAAGTAAGTGTTATAATACCATGTAATAAATGTGAATAGAGATATGCCTAGTGGAGTAAGGGAGCTGCAGAGTAGGAGATGGCTAAATCAGTTTGGATGAGGTAGAGTCAGGAGCACACAGTACAGTTTTGAAATATAATTTAGCCAAGTGCAGGAGGTTAGTAACTTTCCAAGAGGAGAATAAGTGAGAAGGCAAGGAGGCATGAGAAACTATGGCAGTTTAGAGAAGTCATTGTCAATGACAAAGTCAATAATAACATTGACATTAACATGACTTGAATGCAGGGGTTAGATAAGGAAATGGTGGAAGATGAGAATAGTGAGGGTGGTAGAGCTCCAGACCAGGGCATGGTTTCCTTGGCTACAGGGATTGGATTGAAGGTGATGAGTAAGAAGCCATTTAATGAATTTTTGTTTGAGACTCTCACCCTGGCAGAGTGAGGTAGAATCTGATAGGTCTTGTCACCTTTGGGAAGAAAGGAGGAGGAATCAGGACCCTGAGGATTTTACTTGGTTCTAGTAATTGGAAGTGAGGGAAGATGGAGGGAAGATGATAAGTTCTCTTTGGGGTTTTTTGAATTTGAAGAAGCTGTGGAGCATTCAGGTGAAGATGTCAATTAGATGTTTGGATCCACGGGCATGGAACTTGTAAAGGAAATCAGGATTACAGGGCAGATTGGGGGTTGAATTGAAGCTGTATTGATTTGGTTATACTGAATACAATACAATTGGTCGTACTGATTTGGTTATATTGAAATGATTCAGGGAACGCTTTTAGTATGATCAAAGCTGGAGAACAGAGTGATAAAAAGCAGAAATGGGTAGAAGAATAGTGTGAAAGAGAAGAGTAGTAGTTAGAAAGGTAGGAGGAACATTAAGAAAGATGCTAAGGAAGGAGAGAATTTCAAACAGAGATGGAATGGTTGAACAATTTTGATGCTGTAAGAGGTGTCAAGTAAGGAGAGGACTCTAGGGACAAGGGAATTGGTCAGGATTCCATAGGTGACTTTAACAAGTACAGTTTTTTTTTTTTAAAGATTTTATTTATTTGACAGAGAGAGACACAGCGAGAGAGGGAACACAAGCAGGGGGAGTGGGAGAGGGAGAAGCAGGCTTCCCTGCGGAGCAGGGAGCCCGATGAGGGACTTGATCCCAGGATCCTGGGATCATGACCTGAGCTGAAGGCAGACGCTTAACGACTGAGCCACCCTGGCGCCCCACAAGTACAGTTTTAACTGAGTAGAGGTTCAGAGGGCAGTTGTTGGAAGACTGAGAAAGAATGGGTGATGATAAAGTAGACATACTTGAGTGAGGCATTTCAAGAAAACTGAAGAAGGAAGAGAATGATAGCTATAGAGCAGTGGTTCTCATTCCTAGCAGTACATTTACAATTATCTGGGGAGCATTTAAGAATCTTGATCTCCAGGGGAAAGCCCATCCCAATTTGGGGTTGAGGTGGAACCTAGGCATTATATTTATTTCAACAGCTTTGTTGTAATATAATGGGCATGTAATAAACTACATGTATTTAAAGTGTGCAATTTAATGTTTGACATAGGTTTTCATTTGTAAAACTATCACTGCAATCAAAATAACGAACATATCCATCATCTCCAAAAGTTTCCTTATGTCCCTTTGTAATTTCTCCCTCTCATCCTCAGGAAACCACTGATTACTTTTTGTTACTATAGATTAGTTGCACAGGTATATATATTAAAGTCCCCTGGGTAATTCCAATGTGCAGGCAAGGTTGAAAACCACTGAAGAGGGATATAGGTTGAAGAAATGCTATGTTTGTTTCTTTACATGCATAAAGAAAGTGAGAAGTAAGAGATTTAGGAAAGATGAGATATTTACTGGAACTGAGTCCCTGAGGAGATGGAAATGGATGACATTCAGAGCTTTGACAAATAACAAAGGAAGACAATTTGGAAACAACAAAGAATATGATGTTAAAGATAGCACATTTCTTTGTTATCAGCATCCACGTTGTCATCATGTAGTATCAAGTTTGAAGTACTCAAAAAAAAATTAGAGAGCATCTTAATATGTGGAAATAGATGCCACTCTGGAAAACTCCTTAAATGGAGGCTGGGACCCCTGGCATCACCATGTAATGCTTTGTCATTTTTTGGAAGGGAGCAGATGGAATTAACAGTTTGACTATTGTTTGTTATTGAGAGCCAAGTACTGCCAGAGTCTTTCTGGTCCTGTTGAAGTTAGGCTGCATGTCTGCACTGAGGAAAGAGAATATTTAACATTTGAAAATCATCTTTATGCTCAGAAGAAATCCTGTTTGCTTGCCCTTTGGATATATGCTTTTTAAATACATTGGAGGATAAAATCATTGCTCTGTCTCCATATGAGACTGAGAAGAGTTGTGATTAGAAGTTGTCAAAGGCCCACACTTTGTATCCTGAGAAAGGTAATATTTATATTCTCCTCCCTCCCTCCCTCATATTCTGATTCAGTAGTATTAAGATTGGAACCCAGTAATCTTAATTAAAAACAAAAAACAAAAAAAAATGATTGATA